AGGGTTAAAATGGAAAATAAATTTATTCAGCTGTTTGGCACCATATCTCCATATGGTATTAATCAAATAATATCCTACTGATGTTTCTCCGTCTCCCTATATTTCATCTATTTTCTTATTGCTGTTTGTTGATGTATCCCTTGATATTCTGGCCCATTATTATTGTGGACTTTATTTTTCACGGTGTCAATATTTATTTTCTCTCGCTTCCTGTTTTCCCACTTCCGGAGAGACGAATGAATACTGCTTGAGTTTTCTACTGTGTTCTTTTCTTTGTTGTATTTTCATTTCTTTTGTTGGCTGATGAAGGCTTTATGCCGAAACGTCCTTGTTTTTTGTCCTGTTACCTTTTTTCAAGCTTCCACATACCTCGTTTCACTATTTCATTCTTTTACATAGCTTGAAAGCAGTCCCTTCATTTATTTAATAAAAATTTACCAGGTCATTTGACAGGTCCCAAGTTTTTTTACCAGGTCCTGGGACCCGGTGGGACCTGGTGTAGCGTCGCCACTGATCGTAGCCAACTTGGACGTTTTAAATAATATTTTAACAGTCAACTTTACAATTCAAAATAAATCGTAAATGAATTTATTGTGTTTTAGCTTGACTGTATCTCAAATGGCCAAAGGTTAAAAAAAAATAAAAAAGACACCACGATCATTAAGTAATGGTCACGCCCATTGATTTTGTTGAAGCTCCTTTGACGCATATCCTTTTTCACTATTATTTCAATGCCACGCATTTTAAAAAAATAATGGTCTTGTTAAACTCTCACACGCTAAAGCCTTTTGTTTTTTTTTTTTAATCTTTAAAAAAATTGAAATACAGTGGAACCTCTCATAACGAGTTTAATTCGCCCCAGACTCTTACTCGTTAAGCGAAACAATCGTTAAACGAAACAATTTTTCCCATACAAATCAATGGAAAATACGATAATGCGTTCCATGCCAAAAAAATAATAATTTTTAAAAAAAAAATTATTTACATTTATTCAAATGAAATTACTTATGAATTGTTAAGGACTGTAACAACTTGGAATACAATTTAGATTTAAAACAAAAAACGTAAATAAAATATGAATTTATGACAAATAATTAATACTTTTTAACTAGAAAACTGTCTAAACACATTTTTTTTTTTGCCGACGCTTCAAAATTTGACGAAAATGTGTCACAGCATTATCATTGAATACATTTGTAGCACGAATAGCCACGCTCACACCATGTTCTCGCTTTTCAATGATTTTATGTTTCATTTCAACAGTTAGTTTTTTCTCTTTTAGTTGCTACTTCATAGCTTTAAGAATATGTGTTTTCAGATAGTCTAAGGCGACCCCTGGGAAAGGGCCGCGCTACCCCCAAAGGGGTCACGACCCTTAGATTGAGAACCGCTGGACTAATGCATCGGCGCAGAAGCCCCGGCTCACAAATGAATGTCACAAAAAGGGACTTCCCCTTTCTGCGTAACCCGCTATGCGAAATATCGCTCGTGAAGGGAGCAACTTCTTCACATTTTGTTTGCTCGTTATGCGAATTACTCGTTATGAGAGGTGCTTGTTATGAGAGGTTCCACGGTATAACAGATCGGATCGCCTTCTTAAAGTATATAACGAGGAAAGTCTAATTTATAACGCAGAATAACGGATGAATGCCTACAACATTAAAATGACATGATTTGTTTGACAAAATTATAAGTCTTTAGTAAATATCAAATACGGGAATAACCTTTAAAACCAAATTAAATAAACTTTTAAAGTTGCCAGCAATCAGAGAAGTAAAACTTAAGGCGCACACTGGGGACATGTGGGGCTCGGGGGACATGGGGGACACAGGAAACGTTGGAGCCATTTATGTTTGTACGTCAAATGCAAAATTATTCAAATCTATTTATAGTATCATGTTCATCTCCAATAACTGAGCCTCTTTTAAGTTACTCTACATAACCGACCCTCTTTAATGTG